AGCTATTGAAATGTCTCAGCCCTAGTTGTTGAAAATACTATTCTTTTCCCATTAAATGGTCATGTCACCGTAGTTGAAAATCAGTTGACCAGAGATGTGTGGATTTCATTTATCTGTATATCTGTCCTTGTGTCAGTATCTTAATTAATGTTGCTAAGAAGTCACCTAAGGAGCTCTGGTAGCATAGCAGTTACAAATCGGGCTGCAAACCTCACGGTCAGCAGTTCAAAACTACCAGCTGTTCTGCGGGAGAAAGATGAGGCTTTCTGCTTCTGTAAAGATTTAGTCTCAGAAACCCTGTACAGGGTCGCTATGAGTCGGAACCGACTCCACGGCACATCACAACAACAACAACAAGAAATCACCTGATATTCTGATAGGGACTACATTGGATCTGTAGATCACATTCGGGGTAATTGCCATTTTAACAATGCTGTCTTCTGTCCTATGGTTATGAGATATTTGTCTATTCATGTAGATTTTCCATAATTCCTTTCAACATGTTTTGTAGTTTTCAGAGTATAATTTTTGCACTTCTTTTCTTAAATGTATTCCTAAATGTTTCATTCTATTTGATGGTCTTGGGAATTAAATTTTCTTAATTTCATTTCTTAGATTGTTCATTCAATTGTTCAGAAATGCAACTGATTTTTGTGCATTGACTTTGCATCTTTGCTGAGCTATTTACTAGTTCTAACGGTTTTTAGTGGATTCTTTAGGATTTCCAGTTTGTTAGACTGTGTCATCTCCAGACATAGTGCTGCTTCTTCCTTTTCAATCTGTATCCCTTTTATTTTTTTCTTGCTTAATTGCCCTGTTTAGAATCTCCAGTCCAATGTTGAAAAGATGTGGGGAGATCAGACATCTTTGTCTTGTGCTTGATATAAGGGAGAAAGCATCTAATCTTTCACCATTAAGTATGATATGATGTTAGCTATGGGCATTCATTCATAGATGCCTTTTATCAGGGTAAGTAAATTCCCTTCTATTCCTAATTTGTTGAGTGTTTTATTATGAAGGAGTGTTGCGTTTTGTCAGATGTTTTTTATTCTACATTGCTATATTACATTGATTTTCAGATATTAAGCCAACTCTGCATTCCTGGGATATATCTGACTGAGTTGTGGTATATAATTATTATCCTTTAACTTTTTATTGTGAATTGAGTGAAGGTTTACAGAGCAGATCATCAGTTTTACATTCAACAAACCATATACTTTATTTCACTAACTTGGTTACAATCCCCTCCATGTACCAACAGTTAACAGCATTTACCTCTATTCACTTTAACTATTGCATTCCTCCCTGTGTCTCCTGCTACCTTCATCTTTCCTCTAACCTCCCTCTTGTTTTTATGGGCTGCCCTGTAACTCATGTTAACATTTGTCTACCCTGTAGCCCACGAATAATCTGCTCCCACCCCTATAACCATCACAGATTGTTTCTTTAACACTAAAACCTTTTTTTACCTTCTTACATCATTGGTGTTATACAGTGTTTGTCCTTTTGTGACTGTGGGTTAATGCGCCAGACTGCAAAGCCGTCTGAACTGCAACGTTGGCGGTTCAAGCTCACCAGCTGCTCCTTGGAAACCCTATACAGGGTCTCTATGGGTCGGAATCGACTCGACGGCACTTAACAACAATGACAACAATGTTACTTAGAATAATATCCTCCAGAGCTCATCTGAGGTATTTCACAGATTCATCAATTACTCCTCAATGTTTTGTACTATTCCATTGTGTGTATGTACCAAAGTTTGTTTGACCATTCTTTTGTTGATGGGCACTTAGGCTGCCTCCATCTTTTTGATATGTCTCTTGTAGACAGTATAATGAAGGATCCTGTTTTCTTATCCATACTTCTTTTTATGTTGCTTGACGGTACATATAATCCATTTACATTCAGTATAGTTACCAATAGGTATGGATAGATTGTTTCATTTTTCTTTTTTTATGTGTGGTGCTGCTGGAATCTATGTTCCACATAATTTTCTATACTGAGTTAATTTTGTGGGTTTTCTTGTCATCTTCATTTCTGTTGTGTTAATGTTTACTAAATCTTTCTGATCGTCCTCTTTTTTTTTTTTTATTTTGATGTGTAGGTGTATTATTTTTCTTTGCGGATACTCTGTAATTTAGTTTTTTCCCTGCTTAAATCAGTCTGTTTTATCTTGAAATCTACTTGACTTACTTGCCCTTTGGAAGTTATCTATCTTTACTATTCCTTCCTTTTGCTTTGTAGTTGACTATAGAACATCTGTTAGGTACAGTTGGTTTAAAGTGTTATTCAAGTATTCCTTTTCTTTCTTAATCTTATGACTAGTTCTAGTCATTATTGAAAGTGGGTTATTTATGTATCCATTTAATTATTGAATTATCTATTTCTCTCGTAATTCTGTCAGTTTTTAAAATCTCTAATAGCATTTGCTTTGAATATCTTTTGTCTGATAATACATAACCTTACCTATCAATGCCAGTGGTACTCTTGCCTTGTACCTTGGCACTTGTCAAAGCCAGACATATGTTATTAATGTGCAAAACAGAATTTAGCTTTCACATGGTTGCTGTTTGCATGGTAAGGGTAACTCAAAAAGTATTTCTATAAAATCATAGAAACCTTTATAAGTAAAAATATCAAAATATGATCTTCCATCTAGGTATATTCTTTTTTTTTTTTTTTTTTTAAGTTTTTATTGTGAATTGAGTGATAGTTTACATGGGGGAACATCAGTTTTACATTCATTGTTTTATTGTAATGATTACAATCTCTTCCATGCATCATCATTCAACAGTATGTGTTTCTATTCCCTTTGGGGGGGGCCATCATCATTCAACAGTGTTTGCTTCTATTCCCTTTTTTTTGGGGGGGGGTATACACAAAAATACTCTGGAATATATGATCATTTAAATAACCAAAGGGCACATGCTGTGTGACTGCCTCCTGGCCACCAGCATATAGCCTTTCTCTTTGCATGAGTCTAGAGTCCTCAGCTGCTGTATTTCTCCATGCCTTCATGTCTGTCTCCATCTTTGGTGTCACTGCTTCTCTGGATAGGGTCCCACATTCTGCTTATGCTCTTCTCCCTTCATGGTCCTAGGGTCCTCTGTTCCTGTAAGATTAACTACTCCCCTCTTTTATTACAAAACTTCTACCTTTACAGTTGTGACAGTCGCAATTAGTCATCATAACAATTACTCACTATTGTCTATTCACTTTTGAAAGCGGTATTTGTATCTGTCTAGCCCTTCTCCAAAGAATTCTGTTTTTCAATCTACAGTTTTGATAACCCCAAGTGTCTCAAATCATGTTCTTCTTCAATAGTCTTTGAGTTTGGGGAACAAAAAAGTCTGATGGGGGAAAATCAGGGTTAGGTGGATGAGGTGGTTTTTCAACTAAATTCTTATAGGACAGCCCTTAATATCCTTGAAGAATGAGCCAGGTGCATTTTTGTAATGGAAAAAAAAAATTCTTTGCCATACTTTCCTGGCCTTTTTCTCATTAATTCAATTTTTCATTGTTTAAAACTTCTGTGATCATCTTGTGTCCTGTGAGAAAATATAAAGTCCTCCTTAGAAATCCAAAACTATAGTCACCATCACCTCCTAAACTGAATGGACTCTGCCTTGAATTTAACTGGCCCAGTAAATCCCCACAGAAGCCACTGTTTTGATAAAACCTTGCTTCTTTACATCATATTAGTAAATGCGAAACTCATCCCCGGTATGATTTGTCTTCGTTAGCTTTGTTTAATCTTACTTAAAAGGCTAGTGGAAAACTCAGCTCTTAGAGCTAGCTAATCTTTACACAATGTTTTAGGCCCTCTTTGAGGTGAAAGCTTGCTGAGGCCAAGATGTTCCTTAAATTGAAAATGCTGAGCCATGTGAAACCCCAACTTCTTTTCATTTTGTGATAAACTCCTCTGATGTAGAAAAGTGTTTAATTTTTATGAGGTTCCATCTATTTTTCTTTTACTGATTAAGCTCTTGTTATCATATTTGGTAATCTGCTATTATTGACTGATTCTCTTTCAGGACTTGGGACTGATTACACAATGCAATATCATTGAAAACTGGTTTGATCACTGTGTATCCAAACTTAAAATGCATACATATGTTCTTTTGAGCAATCATATATTTTGGAAATTAATCTTTCATAACTCATGTATGGGTAAAGTGATATACAAGTATTCATAATGGTATTTATTATAGTATTGTTTGTAATAGTGAAAGACTGGCAGATTGGTTAAATAAATTTAGGTATATTCATTTGTTGGAATACTGTGTAGCTATTAAGACAATTATTTAGTTCTGTGTACTGCTTGGAAGCACGGTGGTTCCCTATGATAAGCACTGGACTCTGAACTACAAGGTCCACGGTTCGAACCTGCTGCTTCACAGGAAGGAGAAAGATGTACTACTTGGCATAAGTTCTAAGATATATTCTAAAATATAAACCCTATTATCCACAGTTCTAAAAATAGCAATGTGGATAATAGGGTTTATAATATGCTGATGTGGCACTGTGGGATAAGTACTAGTTTGTTAACTGAAATGCTGGTGGTTCAGACCCAAGCCACTTCTCAGAAGCCCTAGACAGGATCAATATGAGTCAAAACTAACTCAGTGGCACTTAACAACAATAACAATATGCTACCCTCGGAAATCCTGTACAGGGTCGCTATGGGTCGGAACCGACTCGACGGCACTTAACAACAACAACAACAACCCTGCAATTTACGTTAAAAAAAAAAAATTGTATCTTTGTGTGTATGTGTGTGTCTACAGACACATCCTCCAAGCCAGATCATGCTGCCCAAATCCATCCTGTCCCAGTCAGAACTGGGATCTCTGGAGTTAGGGATAATGAGAAATTTGTCCACTTTTCTTAATAATACCCCTCAAATATTTGTGTGAGATGAAACGAGGGAACTGACAATCCTGGAATATGTGAGGGAGATGGAGGCTCATGTCACTTCTTTTTCCTTCTCCAGATCTGCCTTTTTCCAAAAGAGGCGCTTAGAAGAGGACTGGTCCTTTTAGCAAATATCAAAGCCATGACTCAGGTGAGGTGCTGTTTCCTTTTTCTCAAATACAGTCATTATTACCACCAGTTCATGTAAGCATTTGCTTTCCTCATTGTGATACTTTTTGTTGTGATACTTTCTGACAGTTAGTTATAAGCATATGTCAAAGTTCTCTTACCTTTGTTTTAAAGGAACAGGTTTCTAACAGGCCAGGTCAAAAATTTCTCTCTTAGTGGAAACATTATAGAAAAAAGAAGTGGCTGGGTAATCATTGTTAGACAAAAAAAAACAATATCTAGTTAAAGATTTTTGCACTCTTAACTGACAATCAGTTGTTAGTAGATGTTTGGATCACATTAAAATCCATCAAATAATTACATATGAATTTCTTCAAGAATGTATCATCTCTTTCTGACTCTGAACAAGTTTGATTTTTTTTTTTTAATGCTTCTTAACAGAGTCACCCATCAAGATGCTGACCCTTTTTACTTCAAAACAATACAGTGCCATCCCCAGTTCCCCTTTCTTCTTTTATATAATGGCTATTTACTCATTAGCAAATCCCTCAGGGCCTCCTACCTCAAATTTCTGCCAGAAGTTCTGATATGTGTCCCCCAATTATTGATGAAACTAATGTGTTTAGACAGTAATTTGATGGGATGGAGCAAAACTGGCATGGGGGCGACATCTGATCTCTAACTTCACAGGAGGAAAAAAGGTTCAAAATCAATAGCACAAAGCTAATTCCTTTGAGGCCAAAGGCACAGGTGAAGTCTACCTTTCACCCTCCAACCTTTTTTGCAATTCTGACACCATTGTCCATCCCATGGTACTCTCTACTTCTCGGCTGGGTTCAATAATTTGTTGTAATGGCCACACATCACTCATACACAATACTCAGAGTTAAGAAGTTTGTTTGGGAAGTAACAAGTTACAATTCAGGGTCAGAAACATTCATGATACAGTTCTGTGCTCAAGATAACTTCTCAGCCATGCCTGCAGGCATACCTCTCTCTAGACCTTGACCCCTTGGTTGGCAGAGCCCTCCACCCTGCTCAGACAAGTGTTATAAAGCTCTTTTAGCCTGTAAGTGCTCAGAGGAACCCCACTCTCCCAGCAAGCCTCCTGCCCAACACCACTTAACTTTTGCTCTCTGCGTTGGGAAGCCCACCATTCTGTTTCATGGGGGTTCTGATGGCCTAGCTGTCTCAATTTCTCTGCCATATTTCTGTCTCTGGTGTGACAACATTTTTCCCCTGGATCAGGGAGGTTCAAGTCAGGGACCCTGGTTCCAAAGGATGCACTCCACACTAGCTTTTCTTTCTTGATAGTAGTTAGGTCCCTCTTTCAGCTTCTTGGATGGCTCATTTTAAGCCTATTGTGATGGTGAAACTGATTAGTCTTCTCTTTAGGGTTTCATATTTGTATGATCCCACCCCACATTATAATGAAATGTGCAAAGACTTAGAAAACCAAAAGGAGAGAACACACTTTGCATTTCTCAAGCTGAAAGAAGAGAACAAATTCAAGTGTTAGGTTGCAATATTGAATCTGTGGGCAAAATATTGAATGATGCTAGAAACATCAAAAGAAGATGGAACGAATACACAGAGTCACTGTACACTGTCAATGTTCAGTCATTTCAGTAGGTACCGTATGATCAAGAACCAATGGTATTGTAGGAAAAAGTCCAAGCAGCACTGAAGACATTAGTGAAACAAGGCTCCAGGAATTGACAGAATAGTAATTGAAATGTTTCAACAAATTGATGCAACACTGGAGGTACTCACTTCTCTATGCCAAGTTGATTGGAAAGATTCACATTTGTGCCCATTCCAAAGGTGACTCAATGGAATGTGGAAATCATTGAATAATATCATTAATATCACATGCAAGTAAAAAACTATTGGCTTCAGTACATTTACAGGGAGCTGCCAGAAATTCAACCCGGATTCATAAGAGGATGTGGAACTAATTGTATCATTGCTGATGTCAGATGGGTCTTGGCTAAAAGTAAAGAATACCGCAATTGGATGGCTTTAACAACCAGAAATGTTTTCTTTCACAGTTTAGGAGGCTATAAGTCCACATTCAGGTGACTGACTCTAGGGGAAGGCTTTGGGTTTCTGAGCACTAGGGAAAGTCCTTGTCTCCTTTCAGCATCTGTCAGCCTAGGATTCCTAAGAGACTGCCATACATAGCGATACCAATCTTCTCCTGGATCTAGGAGCTTCACAGTGCAGGGACCAAGGTCCCAAGGGCACACGCCACACCTAACTCTTCTGTCTTGGTGGTGGTGGTGGTGGTTGTTAAGTGCCATTGACTTCGACCCATGGCGACCCTGTATAGGGTTTCTAAAGAGCTGCTGGTGAGCTTGAACCACCGACCTTGCGGTTCAAACAGCTTTGCAGTCTGGTGCATTAACCCACAGCGCCACACCAGGACTCCGTCTTGGTGGCAGTAGGCCCCTCTTTTTCTGTTCACCTTTCTCTCCTTTTATATCACAAAAGAAATTGGCTTAAGACACAACCTAATCCTATAGATTACATATGCTGTCGTTAACATCATAGAAGCTATGATCCATCAGACCATACCATGGGGCTGATTGTATTAGATCTCATCATAGAAGTGATAACTGCATCTTAACTGCCAATCCACTGAGAATCCTGCCTGGCTAAGTCAGTTTAAGGAGCTCTGGTAACGTAGTGGTTACGAATCGGGCTGCGAACTGCAAGGTCAGCAGTTTGAAACTACCAGCTGTTCCGCGGGAGAAAGATGAGGCTTTCTGCTCCTGTAAAGATTTACAGCCTTGGAAACCCTGTACCCGGTAGCTATGAGTTGGAACCAATTCCATGGTACACAGCCAAGCCAGCCTGACACAAAACCTTATCTATCGTAGCATATATACTTCTTAGGGGAAAACCTTGATGATCTCCACAGACTTGGGTTTTCTAGTAAGAAAATACATACAGTGTTCTTACTAGATTTCAGTCTTGTTACATGAAGTTCAGTCATGTTTACATACAATCTCCTGGTGTATGAGACTCTTTAGGTTTGTGGGTGTGACTGGTGGTCTGTGCAAAGCTCTGACACCCCACCAGGCATCCATGAAAGGTGGACTTAAGTAAAGTCATTGTGTGCATCTATATAATCCTCTATCTACTTCTTGAATCTAAGAATAAGGAGAATTTACAGTTAGGTGCTGAGTGGCTATAATTTAAGATTGGGCCAATTCTAGGAATGTACTTAATGATCACCTCCAGTTTAATTATCTAAAAGCAATAGCAAAGTTGTCTTTATATTCATATAATGAGATATTAATCAGTTTTAAAAATTGTTTATATACATAGTTATGAAATTTTTTTTGTAATAGAGAATAATTTGTACAAAATTGTGTGGAATTAGAATGGGCCAGCATCTTTAAAATTCATTTCTAAATTATATGCAAATTTAATTTTATGAGATTTAAAGTCATTTACATGTTTATAAGACTTAATTCAAGTCTTGCCCCATTACTGATCATACTCCCAAAAGGTAACTGCCCTCAACTCTTGAATATGTTTTAATTGCTACGTTTTGATGAATCCATTGCCTTTCTGCAGAATGGAAGGAGACATTGCAATCCCTCATTTATAAAAAATTGTGATCTTTCGGAAGTATATAATCATCCTTTTCTTTTCTTAAGTGCTTCTGGGTGATCCAAATGGACAGACGTTTAGTTAGTAGCCAAGCACTTAGCCTTTTACACCATCCAGAAACTATCCATATTATATCCCTTATTTTTCCTGCCTGTTATTATTAAATAGTTTTTGACGTCAATTATGTGTACATTATTACGACTGCAAATGTTGTTCACTTCTGATACAAGTTTTATACTAGTTCAGGGCTTCATTCTAGGACAGCTTTTCATATTTGTGGGTTTGCTTAGTTGTCATGAATTTATGTTAAAAATTTTAAGCATTATTGCCATATGCCAACCACCAGTGTTTTTCTATCTGGTCAAACATCAGTTCCTTTTGAATATGGAGTCATTCTTCCCAAGCTTCAGTACAGTGGGTTTCTCTTTATATGTGACTTTTCTGGGTCTGGGTTTATAATTCTGCTATGATAATTTGTTAGGCTACAATCTTGCAAAAGGGTTGAACAGTTTATTATGCAAATAAGGTCTGTAAAATCCCTACAGTGATTGGACAATGAACTATGTCATTATTGTGTCTGTGGACTACTAAGTAATTTATCAGTTTTGGGTCTGGGTGGGAGCAGTAAGTTTATAAAAGGGCTAATTCCACAGCAGTTGGGTTGGGGGGAACTTTACTACCATCAAAGAAAACCTCAAGTAGAGTGCATTCTTTGGACCTGGGTCCCTGCACTGGAAACTCCTAGACCCAGGAGAGAGAGAGAATTTAACATTGTGAGAGATGGCAGTGGCACACAGCAGTGGACTTATGGACCATGAACAGGCGACTTGAGCACCTTTGGGCTGGAGACTTGCTGGTAGTTTGGGGTGCTTTAATGACAGAACCAACAGAGCTGTAGCACTTGCCCAAATGTGGCAGAGACTAGGCCTGAACAAGGCCTGGAGGTATAAGCCACACTATGAATTGAGGTCATGACTGAGAAAGCTGAGAGGTATCCTAATTGGAAGCTGTCCTGATTGACAAATTTATCCTGTCCCTTAGTTGTTCCTGTTAACTTCTGAATTGATTTTCATCCTGAATTGTAACTGTTACTTCCCTAATAAACCCCATAACTCTGAGTATTGTCTCTGAGTTCTGTGGAGACATTGCAATAAATCATCGAACCCAGCAGAGAAACAGAAAATGCCATAGTGGTGAGGGAAGGATGGCGGTGTCAAAATTGGTACAAAAGGTTAGGGAATGAAGGTATGTGTGACTTCCACATTATAAGCATCTACTTGGGTCATGTTTCCTCTCCTTTCTCCTAAAGTCAGTTGGCATCAGAGTGGGATTTGTCGCAGTGGTTCCTGACTCAAAAGCATGGGGTTTTGGAAAAGAAATGACAAACGGGTATGGAAAATGCAACTTTTCATTTATGGATAGTTACTTGGCTGTTGGAGTCTTGGTGTGGCACGCTGGACTGAAAAGTTTGTTTGAACTGCAAGGTTGACAGTTCAAGCTCAGCAACTGCTCTTTGGAAACCCTATACAGGGTTGCTTTGGGCTAGAACAGACTTGACCATACTTAACAGCAAATACAACACTTTGGTGTTATCTGTAATGGCAAGTAAAAGATTAGCATTATGCTAGAGCTGCAGATAAGAAAATTGAGGCTAAGAAAGCCCATTTGGAGTCACTTGGGGAAAAAGTTCAGCTGGTTAAACAAGATGATTGGTAAGGGGCCAGGGCCTTCTGGTTCTACCCAGCTAGAGGCCTAAAGCTAAATGTGTATGAATAGGAAGGAAGATAGTAATGGTATGGAGAGAAGATGGAACCAGAAGGGTTTAAGAGGTGTGGCATTGTAGGATAAGCATTTGACCATAAGGTCTGTTTGAACCGCCAGGTCGGCATGTCAAACTTAACAGCTGCTCCTCGGAAACCTTATAAGTTGGAACTAATTTAATGACACTTAACAACATAAAGAGTAAGGGATTGGCACTGTTAGACAACAGTATAGTGGCCACAACTAACGTTCTTAAGGGTTTTGCTCAGAGTAAGAGAATAATATTCTCTTGGTTAAATTTTATCAGCGGCCAGAAAGGATGAAGCTAAGATGGCTTGGAAAATCTGGCCAGATGAGACAGACACGTACCGCAGACCTCACCCTGAGGAGATTTCTGCCTTACTAAAGGGTTCTGGTGTGGTGCTGTAGGGTAATAAGCACTGGACTGCTAACTGCAAGATCAGTGGCCCATGCCCACAAGCGGCTCCTCAGAAACCCTACACAGCATCGCTCCAAATTGGAACCTACTCGAAAGCCGATAACAACAACAAAAAGTTTAAAGGACGAATATCCTCAAATATCAAAAAAACAACATCATGATAAATGCAGAAAAGATTGAAGTTGTCAAGGATTTCATTTTATTTGTATTCACAATCAACACCCATGGAAGCCTCAAGTCAAGAAATCAAATAACATATTGCATTGGCAAAATCTGCCACAAAAGACCTCTTTAAAGTGTTAAAGAACGAACTTTGAGGACAAAGGTGCCACTGAGCCAGCTCTGGTATGTTTAGTCATCTCGTATGTATATGAACTGAAAAAGAATGCATGCCTTTGAATTATGATGCTGGTGAAGAATATGGAATATAATAACATGGGCTGCCAGAAGCACAAGCCTGTCTAGGAAGAAGTACAGCCAGAATGCTTCTGAGAAGCAAGATGGACTAGCACAGTGGTTCCATCAATGGACTCAAACTTTGTTCTGTTGTAGGTAGGGGTCGCTATGAGTCAAACCCAACTTGATGGCACCTAACAACAAAGGACTAATGGTTAATGACAGATTTGCACTCGTTAAATGTATTGGAAAAGAGAAGTGACCCTACAAATGTTAAATTAGTTTAAGAACCCTTGACCTTAAAGCACTAAAGATGATTGGAATTGGTAAAGACTGGAGAGTGATGGTTTGTCTGACCTCATAGGACGCATTAGACTGATGGTTCTTCTCAGTGGCCCTCCTGAAGTTAGACATCTCCCAGTGCTTCTACTGCTTTCATTTGGTCTAGTTACTCTCTAAGTTTACTGCACAGCAGTTTTCCTGACACTTCTCTTTTATTTTCCTGTATTTTCTATTACTTTTACTGTTTTCCTGTCTTCATTTTTTTCTGAGTCCGATGTCTTCCTCCTATTTGATTTACTCCCTTGTTTAGTGGAGCACATCCTCTACTAGTCTCTAAGAAATGGTGCTTGAGTCCTTGCATGCCTAGCAATCTATCTCAGCCCTCACAATAGAATGATAGGTTGGCTATAGAATAGTATGTCAGATTTTTTTCTCCAGACTGTTAATTATTTTATTGTCTTCTTGCTTTTAATGGTGCTCTTGAAAATTCCATTGTCATATTGATTCCTGATATGTTTTAAATGACTTGCTTTCTTCCTCCCTGGAAGCTTTTGATATCTTATCATTTCACTTGTTCTAAAATTTCACTCTTAGATATTTTGAAACAGGAAATACCTGTTGATTTACTTTGTAACAGGTTATTGTGTGGATGTTTGTATACACTAAGTTATTGAACTGGGAAACTCCTCTTAACTGGATTTTGTACCTTCTCAGACCTGTTTGGATAATGGAAGCAGTTTTGCCTATTAGAAATGGAATGACGTAGAAGCACACTGATTCATTCATGCTAATTTCTTTACAATCCTCCATTTGCTTCCCAGACATTCAGCCCCTCTGTGTATGCTATTTCTCACTCCCTCTGCCTTAATTTTTCTTCTCTTTCTCCTTCACTGAAGCATTTCTTTTTATTAATCAAGTATTATACTTGATTGTTATTCCAGGAGTCAGTGATGTTCAGTGATGTATCCATAGACTTCTCTCAGGAAGAGTGGGAATACCTGAATGAGGATCAGAGAGATTTATACAGAGATGTGATGTTGGAGAATTATAGTAACCTGGTTTCAATGGGTAAGGATGCCTGCCTGTAATCATTCAGATTCTAGCCTTAGGAGGTCTGCTTCCTTCAATATGAAATGTTCAGCTGCCTTTTAAGTAACCAGTTGAATTTCTGCTTCCTGCTTTCAAAGGAATGTTTTCAATATAATAGAGTTAGAAAAGGGGAACTGCATTGAATGTTTCAAATCCTCTGCTTCTCATAATCTGTTACATGTTTACTGATTCTTCCTGTAATAATATAATGTCTTTCTTAATAACAACGGGACTGGATTTGTATCCTAGTACAGTCTTAGCATAAGTTTTTCATTGTGTTTTTATAGCAGGATATTCCATTTCTAAACCAGATGTTATATCCTTCTTGGAGCAAAGGAAGGAGCCCTGGTTTGTTGACAGAGAGCTGACAAGAGGTCAGTGGCCAGGTAAGTGAAAAGACTGCCCCCTTTGAGATGTTATCTGAGATAAGTAGACCCTCTGATAATCCTTAGACCTATGTGTAAAAATAAGACATTTTCAACGTGAGCTTACAATGACTTTGCCTAACACACTGCCTGTTTTTCTCCTTTTTGTAATATTTCCACGTCAGTGTAACTCACTGGTGCCAGCCTCCCCCATTCTCCAGTGGCATCGCTTTTGTGCATATTTTGGATCAATTTCTGTTTTAGCGTCTCATCCTTTTTTGTATTATAAAAACATCACTGCCTTCTAAAGTAACATTTTCCCCTCTATATTGCCAAATACTCATTTTCTTTAACTAGGTTTTAGATATAGTAGTTCATGTATTCATTGATTAATTCATACTTGTCGTCAGCATTTATTAATTCTTTCATGTGTATGAGGTCCTCTGCTAGGTGTTACTGAGATGAAAAGGATTCACAATTTCAGAATTAACAGTCTAAAAAAGAAAGCACATAGACGAAAACAGTATTTGAAGATACAATGACTGAAAACTTTGTAAATTTTGTGTTGTTATAATAAACCTGCTGATTGAAGAAGTTTGGCAAATCCACACCTTCGTGGCCCACTTTTCAGCCAAACAGTAGAAAGATTTATAGGAGGTGACAAGAACACCAGCAAAGTATGCTTAGCATGGAATGGTCAATCTTTCAGAATCAAAAGGGCAGCATTTTCCTGAGGACAGAGTTGAGAAGGGGTGGGACGGAAGGCGGGCGTAATGCAAATAGGAAGCACAGAGAGGAAGCCGGGTAACTGTTGTTGCATAGAGGGGATTGTGGTCTTTATGATGAAACAAAGTATATGACTGTTGAATGTAAACTTCATGATCTGGTCTGTAAACCTCCACTCAATTCATAATAAAAAGTGTTTTACCAACACCATATAGGAGAGAGGCATGCAGGACAGTCGCTAGGCAGGCCTGACCTGGGATGCTACAACAGAACCTAGGGAGTCCACCACCACCATTCCTCTGTGATAACCGCCCCATCTCCAAGAGCTGTGCCCAGCCCTTACCTGCCCATGGCAGCATGCACAAACCATCAAGCCCTTGGGCCCACCTGCCACTGGCTTTCTTCTCTCCCTTCTGCCTATCTGCCTTCCTCACTCCACCTGTCCCTCCTCTGCCTCCTTCCTAGCTTCCCAGACTACTCAGTAGCTGCCACAACAGGAGTGGCCATCAAGTGTGGCAGCGGTGGTGGGGTTGGCCCACGATCGGACATTGTTTCGTCCTGCTGTGCATGGGGTCGCTATGAGTCGGTTCTGACTCGATGGCACCTGACAACAACAACAACACTTCCAATCCTCACAAGAATTGTAAGAGTTATCATTCCGATTGTATCAACTGGGGACTCAGAAAGATCACTTAATTTCCCCAAGAAAATCAAACTTGTAAAATATCTGAGTTTGAGTTTAAAATTTGATGTTATAATCTGAATCTAGTTTCTCTGGGCCGTCAGTGGCAACATACTACTATCTCCCATTTTATTCTCTTTTCTCTATTTAAACTTACAAATAGATTAAATCACAACAATGCGAGGGTGCTTCAAAACGTTTGTGGAAAGTGAAATTAAAAGATATTGCAAAAAAAAAAAAAGATCATGCAAAGGAATTCTTTCGTACCTTTTTGAAGTCTCCTCATTGTTCATATGCAAAAGAATCTTAGCTAGCTATTCATTCAACACTGACTTTTCTTAAGATGCTCTGCAATCTGCATTGTCACTCTCTATCCATGTATATTTTGTTAAAATGCCCTTTACCCTCCAATTACTGAAGCTAGACAACTGCTGTCCTGTAGAACTTTCAGTGAGGATGAAATTTTTCTATATTTGTCATTTCCAGTATGGTAACCTCTAGTAACTACTAACTACATGTGGATATTAAATACTGGATAATACAACTGAGAAAATGAATTTTAAACATTATTTAAAATCTATTTAATTTTAATTGTTTTAAATTTAAATAGCCACATATAGCTAGTAGTTACTATATAAGCTGAATATATATTTAACAAGGGTCCATAAACTTTTTTCTTAAAAGACCAGATTATTAATATTTTAGGCCATGCAATTACGGTCACAATTACTTACCTTTGCCATTGCAACTTAAAAGCAGCCATATACAATATATAAGAAATGATTGTAGCTTCGTTCTAATAAAATGTTACATAAACAAGCACAGAACCAGACTTTATAGTTTGGCAACTTTCCTAAAACTCATTACTTAGGCATGTACATTTAATCCTGGTGTGATCCTATTAAGTTGTTATGATACTTTCCCTTCTTTTATACTTAATGCTATGTGATGCTGTGTGTGTATGCCATGTGAGGACTGTATATATTGAGAGTCATACTTAATATAGGATCTGTATATTTAGTAAGCTCCCCTAAGTCATTCTGATGCATAGCAATGTTTGGGAACCAATGACTTAGTTTCTTCCCCTAATCACTACCCTCTTCTTACTTTGTGACCTGTCTTCTATTTTTCTGCCTTTTTTGTCCATTTTTAAAATTCTGTTTAATTCTCCCAATTTAAGTAAAGCTTAATTTCCCACGGAATAAGAAAAATACGAGTGATTGCTTTTATATTTTCTTTCAGTCCTAGAATCAAGATGTGAGACCAAGAAATTGTTTCTGAAGAAGGAAATTTATGAAATAGAATCATCCCAGTGGGGGATAATGGAAAAACTTAAAAGACATGATCTTCAGTGCTCTAGTATTAGAGATGATTGGGAATGTAATGGCCACTTTGAGAAACAGCATGGCTCTCAAGAAGGGTACTTCAGTCAATTGATACTTACTCATGAAGACATGTCCACTTTCAGTCAGCATCCATCCTTTACATTACAGCATATCATTAACAATAAAGAGAAATACTTTGAAACTAAGGAGTGTGGGAAAGCCTTTAGACATGGCTCACAACTTACACAGCAGATAATTGATACCATTGAGAAACCCTATGAATGTAAGGAATGTGGAAAAGTCTTCAGACATCTCTCAAGACTCACCCATCATCAAAAAATACATACTGGCAAAAAACCATTTGAATGTACAGTATGTGGGAAAACCTTTATTTGTAGCTCAGACCTTACTCGACATCACAGAATTCACACTGGTGAGAAACCTTATAAATGTAAAGAATGTGGAAAGGCCTTTAGTAGTGGCTCAAACTTTACCCGACATCAGAGAATTCACACTGGTGAGAAACCTTATGTCTGTAAAGAATGTGGGAAGGCTTTTAGTAGTGGTTCAAACTTTACTCAACATCAGAGAATTCATACTGGAGAGAAACCGTATGAATGTAAGGAATGTGGCAATGCCTTCAGTCAGAGCTCACAACTTATTAAACATCAAAGAATTCATACAGGTGAAAAGCCTTATGAATGCAAGCAATGTGAAAAGGCTTTTCGTTCTGCTTCAGACCTGACTCGACATCAGAGAACTCATACTGGTGAGAAACCCTATGAATGTAAGGAATGTGGTAAGGCATATTCTCAGAGTTCACAACTTATCAGTCATCATAGGATTCATATTGTTGAGAAACCCTATGAATATAGGCAATGTGGAAAAACCTTTAACTATAGCTCACAACATATTCAACATCAAAATTTATACTGGTGACACATTATAAAATATATTAAATGAATGTGAAGAAGATAATGCTGTCATCCTCTTGAATTTCTACGAGCAGGAAACAGGCCAAAGGAGCTATATCTGTTGTCCTCTAAGCAAAGAAAATGACTATTCCTGGAACAGCTCGGAGATAAGCAGACTGTTGACGTAGCATGGGAAGCAGGCCTTCTTGGTTTTAAAGGATTGGGACCATGGGTCATATGGATCTCAAAGGATGGGTTCACAATCTCCTAAGTTAAACTTAGTTGACAACTTGGTTCCAGAGAGTGGAGGGCTGCCATTAAGGTTTGACAGGGGAATGAGGCCACCTTCCAAAGCTGAAGGGGCAGGGTTACCATGCCAGTAGGGCAGAAGAACAGGGCTGAGAAGGTGGAGTTGCCACTCAAGTTGACCTAGGAGAATGGGCCACCCCAGACTAAGGGAGCAGAGTGCCTGGAAGATGGAGTTTAAGCCCAGGGCCAAGGGGCCAACACCCAGAGATTGAAGGTGGGGTCATTGCCCAGACGTCTCAGACAACAAAGGGTTATTAACAAGTGTTAAGGTAATGTAAGCTGTTCCAGACTCGCTTGATGCCCAGTATCTCTTTCCTGCCAATTTCTGCCATTTATAATGGAAATAACCCACCTTGTGCCTGCTCTACCATTGTACCTTGCTAACAGACAACTTGTAGTCTAAATTTCACAGTTACACAGATGAAGAGGGATTTTGCCCCAAAATGGAATATGCCTAAAATCTCACCCATATTTAATTTAAATGATTCAGAAGATAAGATTTTGGACTTGCAGTTGATTTAAGATCTTGGGAATGATGTAATAGGGTGAATGTGTTTTGTGGGGGGGAAAGGCATGAATTTTGGGGAGCCAAAGATAAGAAAGAGTGTTATGGATTGATTTACAAGGGTGAGTCAACAATTATCCGCACTCTGGCTGTAGAATTTAACTTTTGGAAACGACAAATACGTAATTTTCAAATGTAATCCCCTTACTTTTCAATACCCTATCTAACTGTCAGCAAGTTTTCATATTTCCTTACAACAAAATGTTTTAGGCTGAGCTATGAGCCATGAATGCACCACTGTCTTCACTTCAACAGAGGTGAATCTTCGGCCTTAAAAACCTATTTTCAGGGTGCCAAGCAGCTGAAAGTCTCATGGAGCAAGATCAGGACTATAGGGAAGATGCTTTAACACCTCAAAACAAAGTTTTGCAGTCTCAGTAGTGTGGGCAGAGGTGTGCAGACATGCATTGTCATGCAATATCACAAGGCCCTTGGATAGCAGTCCTCTGCGTTTAACCCGAAGTTTAGGCTTCAGCTTTTCATTGAGCATCTCATTGTAATGAGCACATTGACTATTGAACCTTTTTCCTGATTGTGTTCTAATACTGGCCCTTGAGAATCCCAGACATTTTTAAGTATCAGTTTTCCAACAGATGGTTGACTTTTGAATATTTTCTTGGTAGGCTACTAAGAATGTTTCCATTCTATACTCTGCCATTTACACTCAGGCTTGTAATGATGAACCCATGTCTCGTTACCAGTCACAATTTTTCAAAAGAAACTCTAGCCTTCCTTTGAGTATTGATCCAAAATTTTGTTTGCAGATGTCCAAACGGTTCTAATGCTCTTCCGGTACCCATTTTACACAAACTTTTCAAAACTCAAGTCTGTTGTGGATTATTTCATAGGCAGAGCCATGGCCGGTTTGCAAATGACTTGCCACGTAATCCTTTGTCACTTTTCTGTACCACAGAATCACTTCACCTGCACGTTCAATGTTAATCATCAGCCGTGGATATGAATGGACATTTTAATATAACCAGGGTGCAAATAATTTTTTACTCACTTTCATCTGTACCAAAAAAAAATGTGCTGTAAATCTTAACTTCTATGCCTGTGATTATAGTCCCAATTGGAAATGGGGTACCTTTGATATATTAATAAGGCAGGCTGAGTATAGGCTGTATCTTGAGTGGATCTTTTGAGCTATAAAAGAGATAAAACAAGGAAGCAGAGAGAAAGATGGGTTAAAATCTACCAAGACTTATGGAGATCTTCAAGGAACCAGGAAGCAGAAGCTGATGAGACAAGGACTTCTTCCAGAGCCAACAGACAAAGCAAGACTGCTCCAAGAATTGGCACTCTTAATTCAAACTTCCAGCCTCATAAAATGAGAAAATAAACTTCTGTTTGCTAAACCCACCCACTTGTGATATTTCTGTTAAAGCAATACTAGATAACTAGACTTTTAAGATAACTAGATAATTAAATCTTTTAATTTCAGCTCAAAATGATATCCAATATCAAAGAATTAATCCTGATCATAATCTCTGTAAATGAAATAATTTAGAGACATTTTGTTGAGATATTTAGCATGGAGAAATTCATGCAAGGGAACCATTATCATATGGCTAATACATTTTAGAAGTCTTTTAAAAAAAAAGCTCATATTTTTTACATCAACTAATGTAAAGTATTGAAGTTGAACACATTTCTGACACATTGCTAACCTCATCTTAAACATCAGAGAACTAATGCTGAAATGCAATCCTGTGATTTTATTTTTTCCCTAATTTGTCTATAATTCATTCTTAATTTTTAAATCCATCTTATTTAACTCTACATTTCATGTTGTTTGTATTACAGACTTTAAAATAATTTTATTTTGAAAATACTTTAATACTTGAGAGAAGTGACCTCTTCATTTTTGAAGATGGCTTTTTCTTTTTCTTTTTTCTTTACAAAAAATTAAAGCTTTCTTATTGCATGAGCATTTATGACCTATATTCCACACGGTGAGTAGAAATCTTTAATGTGTTTTCTTGTTACACTCTAATATTATGCTACTTCTTCTCTTCTGCTGGACCTTGGTTTCCTTCTGATTTTTTGTCATTATTCACAGACATTATCCTCCAGTACACCTTTGTATCAGATCTTTTTTTTTTTTTTTAATTGCAGTGATCAATCAAAGACTGTACACAAAGATTGCTGAGGGGTAATATTCATCAGAGTACTGTGTATAATGTCAAAAAATCAGAAAGAAATCTCAATTTCCATAAATAGGGAATTGATAATATAATACAAGGATAAATTTAAAAGTATTGCTTGTAGGGTTCCAGTTCATGCATACATGGGTTTATTCCAAATAAAACATGTTTAAACATGTCTCTGTGATCAGTAATACACTTAAATCTAGGTAGGGTTTCTTCAGAAAAAGGGCCAATCCAAACAGTGGCTTCCAACCGGGATCTGCTGGGTCAGTTAAATTGAACGAGGAAGGTCATCTCAAAAGATTATGGCAACTGTTTTTTAGGAATCCCAAAGATGTAATCTTGATCATTTTCTCAAAGGACACAGGATGATCACAGGGGGCTTATAAAGAAATTTAAAAAAAACTGCAAAGTGCACTGGTGAGAAAAAAGGCCAGGAAAGTTGTGCCAAGGAATTTTTTCCCCATCGCATTAATGCATCTACTTATTCTTTGAGGGTAGTAGCAAGGGCTGTCCTTTGAGAATTTTCTTGGAAACTTTATCCCACCCATCCTAAGCCCTGATCTTGTCCCTTCATACTTTTTAGTCCCTAAATTCAAAGAGCATGTAAAATGGACACAATTTGAGTCCTTCAAGGATACTAAGACTGTCGTTAGATATGGTATAAATCAAAGAACAAATCATTCTTTGGGAAGGGTTGTTAAGTGCTGTCGAGTTGATTCCGACTCAGCAACAGAATGAAACGCTGAACCATCCTCATAATTGTTATGCTTCAGCCCACTGCTGCTGCCACTCCAGCTCATTGAGGTCTGGTGAGTCTGCCTGTATAGGGTTTCCAAGGTGTGGCTGGTGGGTTTGAACTGCTGATCTTGCAATTAGCATTCCACTGCTTATCGTACAGTGCCTTACCAGGACCCCTCTGTCTATACTGCTCCTTGTATTCAGTGAATAGGTTTAGATGGAAACACCACCTTCAGAAGTGTACAGATAAAAGGATATATCAAGAAACAACAGCTTCATATTTTGATGTGTTTGTATAAAAAGTTTTCTGTGATTTTGTTGTAATACTTTTTTAGTTATTTCAACACCAGAAACACCAAGACGACTTTATAATGCATAATGCATACTTACGGAATAGGTTTCATTGTGAATACCCAGGAACTAAATGTCGTCTTGAGGTTACAGAAGACCATTTGTACAGCCTAGTCTGGAAACCACACGTACAAATTGAAGAGGAACAGTGTTGTATTCATTGCTAAAAGGAAAGTTTTAGGATCTATTCTGAAGTACAGTGCTGTCAGAGATAAGCTATGAAGCAGTGAGATACAGTAAGGCTCTTTGAAGCACAGTCTATAACTCCCCCCAAATGAGTGTGTTGTGTGTTGTCAAGTCAGTTCCAACTCATAGGGACTCTGTATAGGGTTTCCAAGGAGGGACTGGTGGGTTTGAACTGCCGACCTTGTGATTGGCAGTCCTGTACTTACTGATTGTGCCACACCAGGAAATGACTGTGGTACCTGGCAAATATGGTGTATGGAAATCTAACAAGGGGGCTGATCAATTTTGCCATCCTGCTAAGTTTAACATGAGTCATTTCAGAAGCAAGAAAGTGTAATCTCACTACCATGAAGAAAGGAGACCCAGGAGTGGAACACATTCTTTAGACCTGAGATCCATGCCCTGAACCTTTGAGAGAGCTGTGATACCAACAAAGCGGCAGAGAAGTAGAGGCAACAGAACCAAGAGCACAAGACAAAGCAGACCGCTCCCAGTCCATGGAGCAAGTAGAGTGCTGAGTGTCTTTGGACAGGAGACTTGCTTGTGGAATGAGATGCACAGGTCTCTACGAAGTTTCTAGCAGCGACATCATGTTTGAAACTGCTTTCACTACTTTTACCCTCAGAATTCTTTCACAGGGAACCCACCCCAAAAATGTATTCTGCAGCAGATGACCTTGAAACTGCTCAGGGTTTCCAAAGCTAAAAGTGCATTCTGATCAGTACCCTTGACTTGTTTGTACGTGA